CGGCCCCCCCCCCCCCCCACCCCCACCTCCCCACCCAAGCCTCGCGCACACACACTACTCGCGTCACACCCCCCACCCCGAGTGCTGGCGTGCGCCCTCCGGCCGCGCGCATGCCGCACCCTCCCTCGTCGCACGCACCCACGCCGCGCTCGCGCTCAGATAATGATATGTACACTCTCCCTCGCCTCGCGCGCCGTACTCCCCTCCACGCGCGGCGCTTGCCTGCCCCCTCTCACCCCATGTGCATGCGCCTGCCCCCTCCCCCCCCCCCCGCTCGCCTACCCCCCCCCCCCCCCCCCCCCCCCGCCCGCCGCCCCCCGCCGCTCGCCCCGCCCCCCCCCACCCTCTCACCCCCCTCGCCTGCGCGCGCCACCCCCTCTGCCCCGCAGCCCTCGCCCCGCCTCGCCGAGCCCGCTGCCACCCCCCTCCGCCACCCACCCGCCCCCACCGCTCTCGCCCCCACCTCGCCCGCCCCCCCAGCGCAGCCTGCACCGCCCGCGCTCGCGCCTCTCCACCGTCCTCACCGCCCGCGCCGTCTTCCACGGCTCCCCCGCTCCCCACCCCCCCCCCCCCCACCCCCCCCCCCCCCCCCCCCCCCCCACCCCCCCCCCGGGTGTGGTGTAGTTGTGAGGTGGTGTGGTGTAGTTGTGAGGTGGGTGTGGTGTGGTGTAGTTGTGAGGTGGGGTGTGGTGTGGTGTAGTTGTGAGGTGGGGTGTGGTGTAGTTGTGAGGTGGGGTGTGGTCACTGGTGTGGTGTAGTTGCAAGGTGGGGTGTGGTGTGGTGTAGTTGTGAGGTGAGTTGATGTGGTGTAGTTGTGAGGTGTGGGTGGTGTGACCTATGGTGTGGGTGGTGTGGTTGTGGAGTGTGGGATGTGAGCGTGGCTGTGTGGTGTGGTTGTGGGGTGTGGTGTGGTATATATTGTGAGGTGTGGGTGGTGTGACCTATGGTGTGGCTGTGTGGTATGGGCAGTGTGGATGTGTGCATGGCTGTGTGGTGTAGTGTAGTTGTGAGGTGTGCCAGGTGGTGTGACCTATGGTGTGGGTGGTGTGGTTGTGCCCAGCTGTTTTGCAAACAGCTTCTAGTGCTAGCAATGATTGCTTCATTGTGTGCATTTATCTGTTTTTAAATTAAATGAACTGATTATTGATTAAAATTGGTTCCAATCATAAGTGAAAAAAAAGTGAAAAATGCTCTCTCTCTCTCTCTCTCTCCTCCACTCTCTCTCTTCTCTCTCTTCTCTCTCTCTCTCCTCTCTCTCTCTCTCTCTTCGTCTCTTCTCTCTCTCTCGTCTCCTCGCCCTCTCTTTCTCTCTCTC